ACGGAGTGGAGTAAAAAATGGCTCATTCCTTTGAACATTAGCAAATGTGTTGTCTTGCACATTGGCCCCCATAATCCCAGAGCTGACTACTTCATATATGGTGTTCCACTGACTAAAGTAGATGCACAGAACGACTTAGGAGTAACAATTACCACCGATTTAACGTGGTCACAACATATCGCTAAAATAGTAAGTAAAGCCAACAAAATGGTATATCTATTAAGACGTACGTTTAAAAATCCTAACCATGACACAGTTGCAAAACTACACAAAACATACGTAAGGCCAATCCTGGAGTATTCCAATTTAGTGTGGTATCCAATTTTAGTTAGGGATAGTGATCTGTTAGAAGGCGTTCAGAGGCGCATGACTCGATTACCTTATGGCATTTTGCGACCATCGTATGAACAGAGACTCGTAATCATGAAATGCCCTGCATTGGGTCAAAGAAGAACAAGAGGAGACGCCATTGCAACATTTATTGCACTCATATTAAATGTTCCTCCGACGAACAGCATGTTTACTTTGAATTCTGATGTGCGTACTAGAGGTCATCAGTTCAAGCTCCAGAAAGAAGCGTTTCGCACCAGAACCCGCCAGTTCTTCTTCTCGAACCGTATTTTCGACACATGGAACTCTCTGCCATTACAAGTAGTGTGCAGCCCAAGTGTACTTAGTTTCAAGAAAAATTTTGATCATTTTATGAATATGTAAACTATTTGTATTGTAATATTTGTATTTGTTGAATTTAATAAAGTTAAGAACTATTGTTGCTCACGCGGGCATAACAGAGTGTGAGCTCTCTGCTCGAGCGTGCAATAATAATAATAATAATAACAATAATAATATTATAAAAAACAGTTGGGGGTCTCTGGAAGTTTTCACCTCTTAAAATAAATACAGTTGGGACCCCAGAGAAGGTTTCACATTATAAAAAAAAAATAGTTGGTGACCCTGAGAAGGCTTCACCTCTTAAAAAAAGACAATTGAGACCCCTGAGAAGGTTTCACATAATAAAAAAGAACAGTTGGTGCCCGCGAGAAGGTTTCACCTCTTAAAAAAATACAGTTGGGACCCCTGAGAAGGTTTCACATTATAAAAAAAAACAGTTGGTGACCCTGAGAAGGTTTCACCTCTTAAAAAAATACAATTGAAACCTTTGAGAAGGTTTTACATTGTAAAAAAAAAACAGTTGGTGCCTTCGAGAAGGTTTCACCTCTCAAAAAAAAAAATACAATTGGGACCCATGAAAAGGTTTCCTATTATAAAAAACAGTTGGGGGCCTCTAGAAGGTTTCAGATTCTTAAAAAAACAGTTGAGGGACCCCGAGAAGGTTTCGCTTTTTTGAATAAAAACCAACAGTTGGTGCCCCCGAGCAGGTTTCACCTCTTAAAATAAATACAGTTGGGACCCCTGAGAAGGTTTCACATTATAAAAAAAAAATAGTTGGTGAACCTGAGAAGGTTTCACCTCTTAAGAAAAATACAATTGAAACCCCTGAGAAGGTTTCACCACTTAATGAAAATACAGTTGGGATCTCTGAGAAGGTTTCACATTATAAAAAAAAACAATTTGTGACCCTGAGAAGCTTTCACCCATGAGAAGGTTTCATATTATAAAAAACAGTTGGGGGTCTCTGGAAGTTTTCACCTCTTAAAATAAATACAGTTGGGACCTCTGAGAAGGTTTCACATTATAAAAAAAAAAATAGTTTGTGTGACCCTGAGAAGGTTTCACCTCTTAAAAAAAAATACAATTGAAACCCCTGAGAAGGTTTGACCTCTTAAAAAAAATACAGTTGGGACCCCTGAGAAGGTTTCACATTATAAAAAAAAAGTTGGGGGCCCCTAGAAGGTTTCAGATTCTTAAAAAAAGACACTTGGTGGACCCTGAGAAGATTTCACTTTCTTGAAAAAAAAAAAAAAACAACAGTTGATGCCCCTGAGAAGGTTTCACCTCTTAAAAAAATACAATTGCGACCCATGAAAAGGTTTCATATTATAAAAAACAGTTGGGAGCCTCTAGAAGGTTTCAGATTCTTAAAAAAACAGTTGAGGGACCCCGAGAAGGTTTCGTTTTTTTGAATAAAAATCAACAGTTGGGACCTCTGAGAAGGTTTCACATTATAAAAAAATAGTTGGTGACCCTGAGAAGGTTTAACCTCTTAAAAAAAAATACAATTGAAACCCCTGAGAAGGTTTCACCTCTTAAAAAAAATAGAGTTAGGACCCCTGAGAAGGTTTCACATTATAAAAAAAAAGTTGGGGGCCCCTAGAAGGTTTCAGACTCTTAAAAAAAGACACTTGGGGGACCCTGAGAAGCTTTCACTTTCTTGAAAAAAAAACAACAACAGTAGATGCCCCTGAGAAAGTTTCACCTCTTAAAAAAAATACAAGTGGTACCCATGAGAAGGTTTCATATTATAAAAAATAGTTGGGGGCTTCTAGAAGTTTTCACCTCTTAAAATAAATACAGTTGGGACCTCTGAGAAGGTTTCACATTATAAAAAAAAATCGTTTGTGTGACCCTGAGAAGGTTTCACCTCTTAAAAAAAATACAATTGAAACCCCTGAGAAGGTTTCACCTCTTAAAAAAAATACAGTTGGGACCCCTGAGAAGGTTTCATATTATAAAAAAGAGTTAGGGGGCCTCTAGAAGGTTTCAGATTCTTAAAAAAACAGTTGAGGGACCTCGAGAAGGTTTCACCTCTTAAAAAAATTGGTTGAAAATTATTTCCACAGAACTTCCCTTCAGTTTTTCCATATAATTTTTTTTTTATAAAGTCATTAACATTTTAGCAAAGGAACATATATCAATGTAATATTAATAGAATCCTTAGAGTTGTGGCACTTTTAGAATCTTCGAAATCTTTGAAATTTAGAGAATACTTTGAACTTTCGCACTATTTGGAATATTTTCACAATTTCAGTAAAATGTTTAGAATATCTAGAATCGAGTAAATCTTTGAAATTTCCAGAAGTTCCAGATTTTTAAATGTTAAAAAAATATCAGTCTTCTGATATGCCAGAATTCAACATTTTTCTCAGCTTTCAAGATTTCTGTTTTCCAGATTTTTCACACTTTCTAGATATTTCCAGATTTTCTAAAATTAATAGACCCTAAGAAATTTGAATGTTTTGGAATCTCTCGAATCTTTAGAATCTCTGAGATGTATAAGATAATAATTACGGTGTTCAAGACCCCTAATACTTTTTGTTTTATTTAGAGTCTTTGGAATCTTTAAAATTTTTGTCATATTAACAGTTCATGCGTTTTTAACAAATTATAGAATCTTTGAAATATTTAGAACAGAATTTTAAAAACCTTTTTCACGTTTGAGTCCTTAGAGTATTTAGAATCGTTAGAGTTTTTAGAGCCCTTAGAGTCTTAACAATCTTTGGAAATTTAGGATATTTCAGAGTTAGTAGAAATTTTATAAAGTTTAGAATTTTTATAATTTCTAGGAACATTAATACTTTCAAGATTATTATTAATTAGAAGATTACAATTTTTAAGATTTTGTTGGATATTTCTTCTATTTAGAACCTGAAACTTTGGTTTATTTAGCATCTTTGGTATCTTTAAAATTCGCAAATTCTAGTGTATGAGCACTTTAAGATTTTTAGAATATTTCAAACATTTGGAAACTTTGGAATTTATAGAATATCTACAATCTTAAGAGTGTGTAAACTTTTCAAATTTTGAGATTTAATATTTTTTTATTTTCTTTTAATTTTTGGGAATTTTCGTAATTTGCAAAATTTCCAGAATGTTCAGATTTTCCAGATTAGCACAATTTTTTTCCGGAGTACACAAAATGACTAGAATTTCCACATTTTCCAACATTTCTAAAATTATCAGGCTCTAGTTATACCAGAATTTTGAAATTCAACCTTTTCCAATATTTTCAAGATTTCTAGCTCTACCACATTTTCCCACACGTTCCAAATTTTTTCAGATTTTCTAAAATTTATAGATCTCAAGAGTCTAAATCTTTGGAATTTTTGGAACCTCAGGTATCTTTACAGTCTCCAAGATTCATAAAATAATAATTAGGTTGTCCAAGGCCTTCAGTGCTTTTAGGATCTATAAAAATTAAAGCAAGCATTTTTCCGATCTTTATAATTTTTAGGTCTTTAAGATTTTTGTTTTCTTTAAAGTCTTCGGAAGTTTTAAAATCTTTGGCATTTTAAAAGTTCACGCGATTTTTACAAGTTTTAGTATCTTTCGCTTTTTGGAATTTCTCTAGAACCTTTAGAATCTTTCAAGGATTCGAAACAGAATTTTAACTTTTGACCCCTTAGAATCCTTAGAGTCTTTAGACGCTTTAGATCCTTTCCAATCTATGGAGATTTTGAACACTTTGGCAATTACTAGGAGTTTTATAAAGTCTAAAATTTCTGCAATTTTTAGGATCATTAGTACCCCCAGATTCATTAAAAATTATTTAAGGTTTTGTTTTAAATACATGTAGTCAATCGGACAATTTTTTTTAAACGAACACCCGCTACATAAAAGAGTCGTATAGCAAAAAACGTCCCTCGTTTGACCAGAGCGCACTTTGGGAATTGTAAAACGTAAAACGGGCCCATTATCCCATATCAAGAGCTGGCCAATTAAAGCCAGAGCGGCGACTGTTGAAGTCTGAAATTGTGACGACTGCTTAAGATCTTACGATATAATAAATAGCCACGAGTACAGGACAGGACACACATCGAAAGTGGGACCGCACACACACACGCCGCTCGTTTGCTTGTGGACATGCACCGCCGCCTTGTTCGGAACGCGTGATTAAGTTGTAAGGATTAACCACTTAAAGAGGTAACGCTGGTGATGGTGCGGAGGAAGCGGCACATGCACACTGCAACCTAAAAATGCCAAATAATCGACGAGATATTTTTTTACTCAATCATCCTTGAAATATTACAGAGCTTATAAAACAGCCACACGTACTGACATAAGCACAATCAGTTTAGTTCTCAGTCACGCCTCGTGGCACAATTTTAGCTGTGTAATAGAGATAAGCGATATGACGTTGAACACTGTGATATAACACCAATATTTAGATATATAATTAGACTAATGTGATAAGTACTCTCAGTGTAGTAGCGTCAACCATGGCGAACCCAAGCCTGAGTAAGTACAATTAAAAACGACTTCACATTTTTTCTTTGACCAAGAACACTATTCAGATATCACTATGTCGGAAGACAACATAATCACTACCCCCGACGTAGCCATAAAACCAACACAAAGCATGGGTTGGTTCATGTTCACGAACATGAAGAAACACAAAGACAACATCGCCCAGGTACCACCAAATCCACTTACACACAATTCGTCTAAAACGTTTTTTGTGTCAACAGATAGATGCCAAAACAGGCCAAAAAGACACATTCGGACAACTTCTACAACGCTCCATCCGAACAGCCCTACACATGTCGGATAGAAAAATTTCTCGAGGTGACGTGATCACCCTGTGTACCAGAAACCACCTAAACGCGGCAGTACCATACATAGCCACCCAATTTGTAGGGGCAGTCATAGGTTCCATCGATCCTTCATTCTCAGAACAAGAAATGAACCATCTGTTGAACACAATTCGATCCAAGATGATCTTTGCAATACCAGAATCAGTACCAGTCCTCGAAAAAGTACTACAGGAAATTTCGCTTGACGCAGAAATTGTTGTTTTTGGCCAGAGCGACAAACACACCGAGTTTTCCGATTTTCTCAAACCTCATGTGGGTGAAGAAGGGTACGAACCTGTCAAAATTGACAATCTTAAAGATACTGCGGTTATACACTTCAGTAGTGGTACCACAGGCTTACCAAAAGGGATATGCATAAGTCACTACACTTTTATTGGACAAATGATCAACTCCAGGTTTATTGATACTCCAAACGATACCTATGTGAAAAATGTCACGAAAGATATTTCTTTACCTTTGACGCACCTCGGGTACACGTCCCTCTACTGGGTATCAGCTGGTGCTATGCTCATAGGTTCTACAATTACCGGTCACTGCAGACTAGTCTGCGAAACCTTCGACGGACCAGAATTCTGGAACTACATCCAAAAATATAAACCTTGTTTTGTGATGTTGACACCAGTTCAAGCCATTGAAGCCCTTGCAAACGTTCGAAAAGACGTCGATGTTCAATGCGTTTTGAACTTCACGGTGATCGGTTCCAGTATTTCGAAGGAGTACTTATTCAAAGTACTGGAAACGTTTCCTAATGCACATTTGGGTGCAGGCTATGGGCAAACCGAGGTTTGTGGCCCTCTCACCATGTTGGTTCCAAACGATAAACACCACGCAGTACTACGTGCAAACCCCGACAAAATCGAAACCGCTGGTGTCCCGGTTCGAGGAACCTCCTACAAGGTACTAACACTTATTTACATTTTCTGATTAGTACTAACTAAAGTCGTAGGTTGTGGACACCGACACCGAGAAAACCGTTGGTTTCAACCAACCCGGCGAACTTCGAGTAAAATCCACTTTCGTCATGAATGGGTACTACAACAAGGATTGTTCGGATACTTTCGACGAAGACGGGTGGTTGAAGACTGGCGATATTGTCTACTACGACGAAGATTTTTGCTTCTATGTGGTGGACAGGATTAAGGAGGCTTTCAAGTACCAGGGGTGGTTTATCGCGCCCACGGTGCTTGAAAATGAGTTGATGAATCATCCTGCCGTGAAAATAGCGGTGGTTGTTGGGATTCCCAAGGACGATGGTCACCATCCTATGGGTTTGGTGGTGCTAAAGGACGGTTTTAGAGTTAGGGAGGAGGAAATCGAGAAGTTTGTTGAGGAAAGGGTGTCAGAGAGGCAGCGACTGCGGGCTGGGGTTAAATTTATTGAGTCGGTGCCTTTGACGGTTACGGGGAAAGTGATGAGGCGGAAATTGAAGCAAATGGTGTTAGAAGGAAAAATATGACTGTTCAAATACAAGGAGATTTCCAGCTTTTCACATTTTTTATGATATAACAATAGTTTTAGTTGTAAATATACGTAGTAGAATCTTGGGTAAATATTTGCCTCCATCAGTAACCCATATGTAAATTACGAATGTTTGTGGCAGATTCTGTGGAACCAAATTACTGTACACTGTTTCTTAAGAGACTATTTGAATGCGAGTTCTAATTTTAAATTTTCTTCCACTTAAATCGTTAGTTTGGGAAAAAGACCACATTTATGATTTTAGCACGATAGTGCTCCTTCACATTTTCATACAACAGTGTAGGATCACACAGGATAAAACAGTTGGAGCCCCCGAGAAGTTTATACCTTCTTAAAAAAAATCACTTGAGAATCCCGAGAAGGTTTCACATTATTAAAAAAAACAGCTGGGACCCCCGAGAAGGTTTCACCTTTTTTAAAAGAAAAGACACTTGGGAAGCCCGAGAAGGTTTCACATTATCAAAAAAAAAAACAATTAGGATCCCCGAGAAAATTTCACATTATTAAAAAAAAGACAGTTGACGCCCCCGAAAAGGTTTCATCTTTTTTTAAATAAAAGACAATTGGGAACTCCGAGGAGGTTTCACATTATTAAAAAAAAGACAGTTGAAGCCCCAGAGAAGGTTTCGCCTTTCTCAAAAGAAAAGACACTTGGGGACCCAGAGAGGGTTTCACGTTATCAAAAAATGACGGTTGGGAGCCCCGGGAAGGTTTCACATTATCAAAAAAGGACGGTTGGGATCCCCGAGAAGGTTTCACATTAAATAAAAAACCGTTGGGGTGCCCGAAAAGATTTCACATTATTAAAAAAATAAAACAGTTGGATCCCCCGAGAAGGTTTCACATTATTAAAAAAAAACAGCTGGGAACCCCGAAAAGGTTTAACCTTTTTTAAAAGAAAAGACACTTGGGAATCCCAAGAAGATTTCACATTATCAAAAGAGTACAGTTGAGACCCCCGAGAAGATTTCACATTAAATAAAAATAGTTGGGGCGCCGGAGAAGATTTCACCTTTTCTAAAAGAAAAGACACATGGGAATCCCGAGAAGGTTATGAATCCCGAGAAGGTTGGGAATCCCGAGAGAGGTTTCACATTATCAAAAAGACGGTTGCGACCCCCGAGAAGGTTTCACATTATTAAAAGAGACAATTGAAGCCCCCGACAAGGTTTCATCTTTTTTAAAAGAAAAGACACTTGGGACCCCCGAGAAGTCTTCACATTAAATAAAAAAACAGTTGAAGCACTCTAGAAAGTTTCACCTTTTCTAAAAGAAAAGACACTTGGGAATCCCGAGAAGGTTGGGAACCCCGAGAAGGTTTCACATTATCAAAAAAGGACTGTTGGGAACTCCGAGAAGGTTTCACATTATCAAAAGAAGACAGTTGGGACCCCCGAGAAGTTTTCACATTAAATAAAAAACACTTGGGGCGCCCGAAAAGATTTCACATTATTAAAAAAATAAAACAGTTGGAGCCCCCGAGAAGGTTCCACCTTCTTAAAAAAAAGAGACTTGAGAATACCGAGAAGGTTTCACATTATTAAAAAAAACAACTGGGACCCCCGAGAAGGTTTAACCTTTTTTAAAAGAAAAGACACTTGGGAACCCCGAGAAGGTTTTACATTATCAATCAAGGAGGGTTGGGACCCCCGAGAAGGTTTCACATTATTACAAAAAAGACAGTTGAAGCCTCAGAGAAGGTTTGGCCTTTCTCAAAAAAAAAGACACTTGGGAACCCCGAGAGGGCTTCACATTATCAGAAAAGGACGGTTGGGATCCCCGAGAAGGTTTCAGATTATTAAAAAAAAACTATTGGGGCCCCCGAGAAGGTTTCATCACCTTTAAAAAAAGACAGTTGGGGCCCTCGAGAAAGTTCTACTTTTTCTAAAACAAGAGACATTTGGTAATACCGAGAAGGTTGGGAACCCCGAGAAGGTTTCACATCATCAAAAGAGGACGGTTGGAACCCCCGACAAGATTTCACATTATTAAAAAAGAGACAGTTGAAGCCATCGAGAAGGTTTCACCTTTTCTAAGAGAAAAAACACTTGGGGATCCCGAGAAGGTTGGCAATCCCGAGAAGGTTTCACATTATCAAAAAAAGACTGTTGGAACCCCCAGAAGGTTTCACCTTTTTTAAAAGAAAAGACACTTGGGAACCCCGAGAAAGTTTCACATTATCAAAAAAGGACAGTTGGGACCTCCGAGAAGGTTTCACATTATTAAAAAAAAGACAGTTGAAGCCCCGGAGAAGGTTTCGCCTTTTTTAAAAGAAAGACACTTGGGAACCCCGAGAGGGTTTCACATTATCAAGAAATGACGGTTCGGACTCCCGGGAAGGTTTCACATTATCAAAAGAGGACGGTTGGGACCCCCGACAAGATTTCACATTATTAAAAAAAGAGACAGTTTAAGCCCCCTAAAAGGTTTCACCTTTTTAAAAGAAAAGACACTTGGAAACCCCGAGAAGGTTTCACATTATCATAAAAGAACGGTTGGGACCCCCCGACAAGATTTCACATTATTAAACAAGAGACAGTTGAAACCATCGAGAAGGTTTCACCTTTTCTAAAAGAAAAGACACTTGGGAATCCCGAGAAGGTTGGGAACCCCGAGAAGGTTTCACATTATCAAAAAAGGACGGTTGGGATCCCCGACAAGATTTCACATTATTAAAAAAGAGACAGTTGAAGCCATCGAGAAGGTTCCACCTTTTCTAAAAGAAAAGGACCCGGGTGGGTTAGGTAGCATCGCGCCTGCCTGCCACACCTTGGGTCGTGGGTTCGATTCCCGCCCTGCTCTGGGTGTTGCGTATGTCCCCCGTTACCCTGTAATTGGGCCTCCGGCCTGTTGGGTAACGTTAATCAATAAAAAAAAAATAAAAAAAAAATAAAAAGACACTTGTGAATCCCGAGAAGGTTTCACATTATCAAAAAGGACCGTTGGGACCCTCGAGAAGGTTTCACATTAAATAAAAAACAGTTGGAGCGCCCGAGAAGATTTCACCTTTTCTAAAGGAAAAGACACTTGGGAATCCCGAGAAGGTTTCACGTTATCAAAAAAAGACGGTTGGGACCCCCAGACGGTTTTACCTTTTTTAAAAGAAAAGTCACTTGGGGCGCCCGAGAAAGTTTCACATTATCAAAAAAGGACGGTTAGGACCGCCGAGAAGCTCCGGAGAAAGTTTCACCTTTTTTTAAAGAAAAGACACTTGGGAACCTCGACAGGGTTTCACATTATCAAAAAATGACGATTGGGGCCCACGGGAAGGTTTCACATTATCAAATATGAACGGTTGGGACCCCCGAGAAGGTTTCAGATTATTAAAAAAAACTGTTGGTGCGCCCGAGAAGGTTTAATCTTCTTTAAAAAAAGACAGTTCAGAGAAAGTTTCACCTTTTCTAAAACAAAACACACTTGGGAATTCCGAGAAGGTTGGGAATCCCGAGAAGGTTTCACATTATCAAAAAAGGACGGTTGGGAACACCGAGAAGGTTTCACATTAAATAAAAAACAATTGGGGCGCCTGAGAAGATTTCACATTATTAAAAAAATAAAACAATTGGAGCCCCCGAGAAGTTTTCACCTTCTTGAAAAAAAGACACTTGAGAATCCCGAGAAGGTTTTACATTACTAAAAAAAAACAGCTGGGACCCCCGAAAAGGGTTCACTTTTTTTAAAAGAAAAGACACTTGAGAATCCCGAGAAGATTTCACATTAAAAAAAGAGACAGTTGAAGCCCCCGAAAAGGTTTCACGTTTTTAAAAGAAGAGACAGTTGGAAACCTCGAGAAGGTTTCACATTATTAAAAAAATAAAACAGATGGAGCCCCCGAGAAGGTTTTACCTTCTTAAAAAAAAGACACTTAGGAATCCCGAGAAAGTTTCACATTATCAAAAAGCACGGTTGGGGCCCCCGAGAAAGTTTCACATTATTAAAAAAAGACAGTTGAAGCCCCAGAGAAGGTTTCACATTTTTTAAAAAAAGACAGGGCGCCCGAGAAGATTTCACATTAATAAAAAAAATTGGTCTAAAGAGTTTAGACAGTACTTCCCTCGCTGTCGGAAACATGACGACTGCATGCCTATAATTTTTTTTTCGCAGTAGATTTCAAAGCATTCGGTTTTGTAGTTCCTGAGTAAATCAATAAAATAAATTTAAGCATTCATTTTTTTTTTGAGTCACCCAGTATATGCAAATTCAAAAAATATGAATGGGATGATAAATTACAAGTACAAACTCATCATATTTTGTACATTCTAGATAGGATTTATTCGGCAAACTTTTGAGCTGACGTCATCAGTTTTTTGGAGAAGATAAACAAATATATTTTGACTAAAATTTTATTATGCTCTTTATAACCTTAAAATATCTGCAAGATTTCAAACATTCGGTTCTGTAGTTCCTGATTAAATCAATAAAATTCATTTGCGCATTCATTATTTTTTTTGGGTCACCTGTATATGCAAATTAAAAAAATTTGAATGGAATTACAAATCACAAGAAGAGACTCACCATATTTTGTACCTTTTAGATAGGATTTATTCACTAAAATTTTGTGGTGACGTCATAAATTTTTTAGGGGGGACGACCAAATACATTTTGATCAAAAATTTACCATGCTTATGATTATTTTAAAATATATCAGCTTTAAAAATTGATAGTGCGCCGGGTCCTGACAACATTACTTGTAATGTGTTAAAGAGTTGTGCCCATGAGATTGTAAAGCCGTTGCTTCATATAATGGAAAGGTCATTAATCGATTCGCGTTTACCATCGGATTGGCTTAAAGCGTCTGTTACAGCTATTTTCAAGACAGGGGACAAAACATTAGCTTCGAACTATCGTCCCATAAGTCTCACATCTGTGTGTTGCAAAATTCTGGAGAGAATGATTTGTAAGCAACTGAGAGGGTGGGCACTTGATCACAGTTTAATTCCAAATACTCAGCACGGTTTTGTTCCAGGTCGGTCAGTCACTTCATGTTTGTTAAAATGTGTAGATGATTGGGGTTCACAAATCGATAACAAGAATCCTGTTGACGTGATCTATTTGGACTTTGAAAAAGCCTTTGATCGGGTACCGCATCTTCGTTTAATTACTAAATTAGAAAATTTTGGGATTCGAGGCCCATTATTGAAATGGATCAGATCATTTCTTCATGGTCGTAAGTTTT